AGCTGGTAAGACCCACAAGGGAGACTGTAGGTAGAGTGTAGTTTGGGGCTCCAGGAAGACCCTAAGCCCCCAAACACTCAGGCACGCTGCTTTGGAGGTGCTCCGAATCGGCAGCCAAATGCTGGAGGCATGGATAAGCTTTTTGGGGCTTTGCAGTTTTGGGGTTTAGGGTTCAGGAGTGTAGTCATGCGTGCTGGGTTCGAGGCTCTTCTGCGGCTTTCCGGCCACAACCTCCCAGTCCCGGATCTAGGATGCACAGTAACAGTAGTACCCCTATTCCCGTTTTGTAGTCCTAGGTTCCTTGTAAAGTTACCCAATACCAGAAAGGGAGCCCTTTTTATTCCTAGGTTACCGGGCATCCTAGAAAAGTGTTTCGATTTTCTCGGTTTCCGGCTTAAGGGCTTCGGGTTTCAAGGTTTAGCGGTTCAGGACGGAGGGATTTGAGGGATGTGGATTTTTTTTAGTTGAGTTTGGGCTGTGCCGTAATGACAATGTAAGTCTAAGGATCTATAACATAGGGGTACGATTCGATAGCCATGGCCGTACTTAACAACAGCTTTAGACTTTAGGTCGTGCCACGGCATCTTCAGCCGCAAGGGGCCTGGCATCGATGGTTTAGCTTTCCAGCCAAATGTGCGTTAAATCGAGTCCGAGCATTGGTGAGGTTGGATCCTCATGAGTTCACGTGAGCGCCAACCTGGCAAATCACAAAATGCAAACAAAAGCGAAAGTCGTCAAACATACAAGCCTGCAGAACCCAAGGACCCAAATGCTGAGGCATCCGTGCACCAAGAGTCCCAAGGCAATCAAAAAGAACCCAGTTGCTGGGTATCTTTGGGTCTGTATTGGCTTCTATTAGGATGCCCATTAGTACCCTTATTCCCTTTTTTGTAGTCCTAGGTTCCTTATAAAGTTACCTAATACCAAAAAGGGAGCCAGTTTTATTCCTAGGTTACTGGGCATCCTACTTATTGTCATGCTCGACATGCGCTACGCTGATCATTCCCGCGGAGTGTCCATAGTATATGCTTCCATTACGGACTTGGGCTCCAAAAGACCATCTTTACTATAGGTCTGGGGACTTAACCCCATCATATTCGTACATACGAACCCTCTAGGTGGGGAACTTGTTTTCGGGGCGATGACGGAGCTTGCTTTATGCGGTTCGCCGAAATATCCTGCTCTGAAGCCTGGAAAAGCCATCCTACCTTGAGAACCTCTAATTTTCGTTCTGTTTCTAATAAGAACCTACACCCTAAAACTGACTTCTAAAACCCTAAACCCTAAACCCTAAACCGTGCTAAACTGACATGAGCCAGGGTTGGACATACATCGTGCGGAACAAGATGAACTTCTGCTTCGACACAGTGATGCCGTAGCCCCTGCTGGGTTCGGCTCAGGGTTCGGGGATTGCGAGCTAGGGCTTAGGGCTTAGGGTTTAGGGCTTAGGGTTTAGGGTTTAGGGCTTAGGGTTTAGGGTTGAGGGCTTAGGGTTTAGGGTTTAGGGATTTAATTGAAGCTACTATGGTTCAGAGTTCCTATTAGGGTTTATTCCATAAGGGTTTAAGGCTACGGAAGTTATTTCTTAGGATCATGTGGTTTCCTTGTTATGCTGACTTAGTCCTGGTGCTGGGAAATGGCGGGGCTCCAGGATTCGACTGACGAGTTGGAAATTGAGGTTTGCTTTTGAGTGCTACTTCGTGTGGGCAGTTCTAAGAGTAGTGTCCCGTCCTGCAACGAGAATGCCGGCAAGCCCCGAATTTGGTACTCTACCTTGGGTTTAGGGTTTAGGGGTTTAGGGTTTAAGATTTTGCTATGATTTCAGGTATACCATCGGCAAAACCCTCTAAGGCCCGTCGAAGAGCCTAATAAAACATCCTAGAACACTGAGTTACATTAGGCTGTCTCACCCCAGGGCTCCAGGTACCTAACTAGGCAGGTTACGAAGCATATAACATGTCGGCCAGTAACCCATTATTTAGGTAACTGGAGCCTTAGGGTAATGTAGGAACCTGATTATGAAATCCTGGGCCTATAACCCCACAATAGTAGGATTCATATCAGGAACCCTAATAAAGGCCCAAGGTTTCTTAGTCAGGTTCCTGCACTAACCCTTAACTAACGGGCACGAAGCCTCTAGAGATCCGAAAACGGATCGGAATTCTTTTCTTCACTAAGGGTCCATGTGCCCAATTGGTATATACTTCAGCCCCAAAGTACTTACAAGTTATAAGGACCACTTCAAGGCCCAAGTACATAAACTAAATGAGTCGTGGACCCTTAGGGTTTTGACATCGCGGAAGCTTAGTAGATCCTCCTGCCGAGGCTGGTGTGCGCCTTATCTGCGCTCCGCACGGGGGCCCAGCGAGCGACAATTCCAGGGTTTGGGCCCTTGCACATTACAGGGATAAGGGTCTGCATAGTGTTTGCAAGGTTTATATGTATATATTATCTATATACATGTATATGTGTGTTTGTGTGTGTGTTTAGAGAGAGAGAGAGAGAGATATATATATATATATATACATATATATATACACATACACATATACATATATGCGGTTGAAGTAATTGTGAAGGGCTTACATAGGGCTTTGGGTCGCATAGGATTCATGGGGTCCTCGATCTTTTTGCATGAGTCAGTCTAGAATACGAACGGGTCCGTAAGTAGCGGCGGTCTGCCCAGTACCCGGGTTCAGTGTTCAGCGTCTCAAGATTCTGGGTTTTAAGGTGTATATAGTGGTTTAGTTTTTCGGACCCCGTAACAGCCTGAGCTATCCATCCTTCTGTTTTCTGATTTAGGATATATTCGTTGATTGAGGGGTGTACTGGTCTCTGGGTACCCCTGAAAGTCCTCAGTGATGCTCATTGCAGTGCCTACATATTGGACATATTGCACACTATGCATATCTCGAACTTGGAGCTATAAGCCTAAGCTCTACCGAACACTAAGCCCAAAGCCGTAAACCCTAAGCCCTAAAAGCTAAACCTTAAGCACTAAACCGAACCCTGCACCCCTAAACTCGACCTAGGCATCGTCTTCGATGTGCCGTTGACGCACAGCTACCTCTTCGAGCATCGAGATGCACGCAGCTGAAATCTATGCTGGGTTAGGGCTCTAGGGTTTAGGGTCTAGCGGTTATATGTTAGGGCCCTTAAAGGGTCCTATGTCTGGTTGAGGGTTTATGACAGGGTACTATAGGGTGCTATAACAGGGTCATGTCATTTTATATTGGTACTAAGTTGTGGCAGAGTACCGTACTGTAATGCTTGTCTTTGGACGTGTCCCTTAAAGGAGCCATCACGAAATAGACGTTGATACTATTGTTTTCTCGTTACTTCAAAGCCCAGTATCGGTTCGGGGAGTCAAAGTTTCAGATGAGTTGGGTCTCTCAGCATAGTTCTGGGACTATTTAAGGGGTGTATATTGGATACTGCTCCCAGTCAGTAACAGTTGGAGAATATTCATAATATAGATATATTAGGGCCTTAATAGTAGCCCTATTATAGACTGTTAGTGTATGGGGGCAGTATCCAAGGTATATAGCGAGTTACTTATAGTCTCCATTGTAGTTCCTTTTTGGGGTTACCTTACAGGATCCTAATTATATAATTGGTTAAACCAAGAAAAGGAGCTACAATGGAGACTATCCCAAAGGGTCCAAAGTACCAATATGGTAGAATGTAGGGTTTTTTTTGGGAATTACTATTATGATTTGGGGAAGTATCATCCATAACAGTACCTAGGACCCTTTGGGTATAGGTAAGCCCTAAACCTCACTCGACGCCGAGATCCCAATTCACAGAGCGCACACACCCCCAAAGTTTCAGGGTTTAGGGTTTAGGGCTTTTTAGTAGGTTTTGGAGTAGAAGCTTTGCAAGCATACTGGCATACTGCTCACAGATGCATTTTGCGCTACCCGTTAGCAGGAATGTTTCAGAGTTCCCATAGTTTGGGGTAGATAGGGTGTCGCTCTCATACACTAGGTTCTCCGGTCGTGCCTTTTTGCCCTGTCTGGTGGTTCCCTTATTAACACCAAATAGTTGGAAAAGCCTTCAACACATGAGAACCCAGTATAGGGGCTGATTAAGGGGCTACAGGGAACCTGGTAGTATTAAGGGGCCATTGGGAACCTGGTGTAGGGTTACGGGCTGCGTTTCGCATTTCGGGCTGATGGGATGGCGCTATAGATCTGATTCTACGTAAAGGGGTGATTTCAACATAGGGATCGCTTTGAGGGACCACGTTTTCTTCTGTGTATTTGGTCAGTCAGTGTTGGTTCGGTTGGTTCTTGTTGTTGCTACTGCTGTCGCGATGATTGCTGTTACTGCCATCGTTTCTCCAGCCTCAATGATCGTAACTCAGCCAAGACCTGAGACCTAGGTGCGGAACCTGGTTGGCATGGCCCTGGGAGTTGCCTTGGCTTCGGAGGCTGACGTACCGTTAACGTCGCCTGCAAGCGGGATTTGATTAGCGCCTTGATCTTTCGGGTTTTAGGGTTGATCGTTCAGGTCTTCATTGGTTTCAGATGACGGCCTTACAACGAGCGGTAGTTGCCTTTTGCAAAGGTGATTGCTGCTGCTTTTCGGAGGCTTTGGAGGCATTCCGGAGCTTGGCATAGTCTCTCATGGCTTTTCCATGCATCTCTTGCAACAGAGTAGGGTGTCTACAGGTGGTGTAGTCATTATGGCTAAACAAGTGCGGAGACATTCTGGTTCTGCTATTTGCAGCATTTCTGGGTGGGTGACAGCGGCAGTTTCACATCACAGTTCCAAGAGTTGTAATCCTCTACAGTGTTCTCCCATAGGCCTACGTCCGTATGTCAAGCCACATGTATCTGTAAGTATCCTCGAAATGCATTTCTGTCGGATGTGCTGCTTCCAGGGTTTAGTAGTTTAGTCTCGGGATTCTAGTTTGTGGGCACGAAACCAACACAAAACGTAACACCCATGATCCTGACTGCCAGGCCTTTTTCGCTTTCGTCGTTCCCAGTGACGCCATGAAGGCAGGTGCAGCGGAAGACTCGGTTCGCAGGATTTTGTTCTTCGGGTGTGGGAGGGTTCATGCATTGTACAACAGCAGGTTTTAGGTTCTAGCAAAACTTAGCAAGATCTGCTGAGTGGCGACTACCAAATGCTCCGTGCTTCCCAAATCCTGGCAGCCCTTTAGCATCCCCAAACTCTGGCTACGACACACTGCATGAGGCACCGGTTCACCGTTGACTAGTAGACAATTTGGGGTCTGAAGTGACATCATCAATTAAAACAGAACAGTTGCGGTTTCCAAGGTTCACCTTTTATGGTTCGGAAATACTACATAAATGCTCGACAACTAGTGATGCACTCCGGGTATATGATATATAGTAATAAAACTTGGTCGAATATACGCCAACATACTATTCGAATGAAAGTGTTCCGGATGTTGATTAGTTCATCGGCTTGGCTGGTTGTAGCTTCAGCCCAGCAGACCCCTTCTACGAATGCTGCCTGAACGCTAATGTGCTCTGGTCATGATATGAGACTTGTCATTCGTCCTGTATGACGGTTTCAGTGGCGACATGGATGGACATGGTGATGCTGATCATGGTGGCGGTGGTGGCGGTGGTGGTGATGACCGCCAATGAAGCAGAGCATAATGGCAATCAGTATGCTGCGGATGATGAGCACCCCTCGATGATGACGACGATTATAGGGATGATGGTGGTGGCAGGCAGTATAAGGGACGAGCGCTACAACATCTAGTAATTCCTCCCAAGCCCCTGGAATCGACGTTCTGTCGATCCGTAGCAACATCAGAAACAACCGTAGCAGCTGCAGTACTTGCCAGAAAGTTGGAATATGATTCTCCTAAACCCTTTATGGTAAATTATAGGGTAGCCTACCCTGAAACCATATTCCAACTTTCTGGAGTTCCCTTTAAGCCCATTTACATCGAAACCCCCAAGCCCCAAACCGCAAGGACCTTGAAGTCTGAAAGCCCAAAGATGCAAGCCCCCCAACCAAAGCCTAGAATGTCTAAGCCCTTAACCCCAAAACCCTAAACCCTAAGCCCATTATAACCCCAAAACCGTAGAATGGAACCTCCAGCTCTTAAAGAGCCCTAAGCACTAAACCCTAAACCCAAATCTGAAACTCCTCGAGATTTCTTGAGCCCCTATAGAGAAACCCACTGAAGTCCCATGCAACTAAGTCCCATGATCCTCTAAGCCCTAAGGGTCCAAATGCCTAAATAGTAGGGTTTCAAGGCCCAAAAACTGCTCAGAGTATGGATTTCGAGACCTTAAAACCCCACTATTTGGGCACTTGGACCCTCTGGGTAAGTATCTAAGTAGAGCCCTATGCCTCCAGGGACCTTATGATGGAGTCTTTAAGGGGTCTGGGGCCCTAACTATGAGGTCCTTGGAGGGATAGGGCCCTAAACCCTAAACCCCATAGATCCCCTTTAAGGAACCCCTATAGATCCCTTTAAGGAGCCCTTTAGGAACCTACTTACTAAGTCCCATGATCCTCTAAGTAGAGAAACCCTAAACCCTAAACCCCAAACCCTAAACCCCAAACCCTAAACCCTAAACCCACGGATGTTTACCAAGGCAGGCCTCTCTCTGGCAAACGTACTCTTTGCCGTCGGGGCCCCGCTGGGTTGAAGTGGTGAAGGGGTTGGGGTTTTCAGGATTTGGGGCTTAGAGCTTTAGGGCTTTAGGGTCTATAGGATTTAGGGTTTTGGGGGTTTGGGGTTTTCAGGATTTGGGGCTTAGAGCTTTAGGGCTTTAGGGTCTATAGGATTTAGGGTTTTGGGGGTTTGGGGTTTTCAGGATTTGGGGCTTAGAGCTTTAGGGCTTTAGGGTCTATAGGATTTAGGGTTTTGGGGGTTTTGGGTGTTTAGGATTTGGGGCTTAGAGCTTTAGGGCTTTAGGGTCTATAGGATTTAGGGTTTTGGGGGTTTGGGGTTTTCAGGATTTGGGGCTTAGAGCTTTAGGGCTTTAGGGTCTATAGGATTTAGGGTTTTGGGGGTTTGGGGTTTTCAGGATTTGGGGCTTAGAGCTTTAGGGCTTTAGGGTCTATAGGATTTAGGGTTTTGGGGGTTTGGGGTTTTCAGGATTTGGGGCTTAGAGCTTCAGGGCTTTAGAGTCTATAGGATTTAGGGTTTTGGGGGTTTGGGTTTTCAGGATTTGGGGCTTAGAGCTTTAGGGCTTTAGAGTCTATAGGATTTAGGGTTTTGGGGGTTTGGGTTTTCAGGATTTGGGGCTTAGAGCTTTAGGGCTTTAGGGTCTATAGGATTTAGGGTTTTGGGGGTTTGGGGTTTTCAGGATTTGGGGCTTAGAGCTTTAGGGCTTTAGGGTCTATAGGATTTAGGGTTTTGGGGGTTTGGGGTTTTCAGGATTTGGGGCTTAGTGCTTCAGTGTTTTAAGTTGCATTCATGGGGTTTAGGGTTTGGGGTTTTAGGATTCGGGGCTTAGAGCTTTAGGGTTTTAATGTCTAGGAGTTTGGGCTTGTATTTTTTTCTTCTGGACTTCGACTGTTTGTCAGTTCTGTCTAAGCTGCGACTGCTTCTTTTCGCGCGGCTGCTTCTAAATACTGCTGCTGCTGCTGCTGCTGCTACAACTCTATACTACTACTGCCATTGCTCCTGCTCCTGCTCTCCCACTCCTGCTCCTGAAACCGCCGTTCAAGGCAGAAAACCCGCTATTGCCTCTTATGAGCCCCTACAGTGTGCAGCACAGAGACTCCACAGCCCCATAATACAGAACATGATTCCTTCGCGGGTTTCTTATGATATTGCATACATGTACTCTGTCATATTCGGCCCCATGCCCTATTCTCTCCTATTCTGTTTCTGCAGGCTCCTACCTATATACTGCGCATTAGTGATTGAAATTGGGTTAATAAACAGGAATCCATGAAGTGACCCACAATTTGAAACCAGACTTTAGGACGCCGACAACAGGACTTTTACACGTGCTCGAGTTTGATTAGTAGGGTTCCTAGGACCCAGAGTAGGCCCTTATTCCCTTTTTTAGGGTTCAGGTTCCCTTATAAGCCCCTTTAAACCAAAAAGGGCACCCTTTTTATTCCTAGGTTACTCTTAGGTCCCCAAACCCTAAATCCTAAACCCCTATAGATCCCTTAAAGCCTTATAGTACCCTACTAATCAATTCCTAGGTTACTCTTAGGCCCAGGTTCGGATAAGCTCTGAGCACTACAGGCGGCAAACTACGTGGATGTCGTCGGCTTCATGCCGGTTGTCTGGCGCCTGTACCAGGCGCTATCTTCTTATAGTTTGGGCCGGTCAGGGTTTAGGGTTTAATTATGGTCTCTAGAGTTTTGGGATTTAGGGTTCTTAGGGTTTACGATCTTAGTACCCAGAGCCTCCAAAACCCCTTAATTAAGGAATATACCTTAAATCATAATAGGATCCCTAATATCGTTTAAGGTATCTTCTTAAAGGGAACTCCAGAGAGTTGGAATATGGATTAATGGTAGGATCCCCTATAATTTACCTTAAAGGGATTACGATAATGGTATTCCAACTTTCTGGCTTCTACTGTATCGTAGCTGAGTGGATACACTTTACACTTTTTGGGTAATATTACCCACTATAACACAGAAAGTGTACACTTTTGGGGGGCTTATGAACTCAGCAACTAGATCTTTGTGTTGATAGCTTAAGGGGTTTCTGGTGGTGTCCACCACCCAAACATTACGAAACCTTTCACACTTGTTTGTAGTAGAGTGGCACAACAGCTTGTAGGCTCGAAATTGGGCGTTGACAGAACGGGGTTTGGGGTGCAGGACGGTTTAGGGCTTACCTTAACCCGGAATACCCTACCGTTTCAAGGACTTATATAAGGAAATCATAACAAGGAACCCTAAAAAGGTAGGTTATTTAGGGTTAAGGTACGGCTTCCGGACCGAATTAGGCGCTAGGTCATGGTTTGGGTCCTAGTTGCATGACTTGGGAGTTTCCGAAAAATAGGGCATCCTAATGTAACACCCCAAAGAGTAGGATCCTTATTATACGTGCCCCAAAGTAAGGTACCCCTAATTTTCGGAAGCTCCCACTTGTTTCAACCCTGAGCCCCCCCAAAACCGTAAGCCCTAAATCTGGAGCCCTCAACCCGGAACTTCGATGACCCTACCAGAAGGATCAGGGGCTCGGGCTTTGGAGGTTTTAGGGTCTGGGGTTCAAGGGTTATAGTTTGAAATATCCTATCCACTATGTAAGAATGTAAGTTAAGTAGGTTCTGAATCAGGCTTTCATAGTACGGTGGCTTGAAGTTCTATGAATTCCTACATAAACCGTGTGTATGTATCATTACATATACAGTTTGTATATAGATATATATATATATATACACATACATACATACCATATATCCTTACGGAGCGCCAGTCTTATATCCAGGAGCCACACCGGGCCCAACACCTCTCAACTGCGAAAAGCCCTGCAAGCTGGAGTACATTCGCCGAGCTGCAACCCTATAGTAGTTCCGACATAATCCCCAAACAGTATAAGTAGGGAATGGGGGAATGGATCCCTATAGTCGTCCCTATATAATCCCCAAAAAATATACGCAGGGAAGGCGGGAATGGATCCCTATAGTAGTCCCTACATAATCCCCAAATAACTGCCCACCGGAGTTTTGAGGGGAAATTGGGTTCCGTCGCTAGGGCCAACAGGATCCTACGGTGTGAAAGTACATACAGTAGACTCCATAAAGTTGGAAACCGGAATTAGGCCAAATAGTGCTGGGGTTCCCTATGCATTACTCTTACGGATTGAGGCTATGGGGTTTCCAACTCTTGGGCTTCTACTGTAGGGATAGTTGTCAAACTTGTGGCCCCTTCTTGGGTGACCTAAATATTAGGCGCCGTATTCTAATAAGGACCCAAAAAGGGACCATAATTTCAGGAATTCAGTATCACTGGGTAAGAGGGGTCACAGGGTTCTACATAGAAAGGCAAGATGAATCTAAAGGGAACTCCAGAAAGTTGGAATATTGTTTCAGGGTAAGATACCCTATCATTTACCATAAAAGGTTCAAGATAATCATATTCCTGCTTTCTGGCTTTTATTTTAGGGGCCTATAAATGACTAGCCATACTTTTTCGGGTGTTCCCTATTGTAATTATAGTATGATGGGCCCCAAAGCCCCGTTCTATTTTTTTTGAGGCCCCTATATCATAAAACCCTGCTATAGATTCCCTATAGACACCTTTTAAAGGAACCCTGCAAGGGAACCCTATTCTAATTATGAAGGCCCCTATATCATAGTACCCTTGGGCAATATTGACCTAGCAGCTTCGGGGCCTGAGAATCCGAACCGGTGCACAGGCCGAAAACGCCTTGGACGACTTCGCTGTTGGAACCATGGCATTGCCGGCGCAGTTCTACTCTCGAAGTCGCCCTGAATCTTAAGCCCCGAAACCCCTAAACTCTAAACCCTGAGCCCCTAAACCCAAAACCCGAAATCCTAAGGCTTTCAGGGCTTCGGGTTCAGGCCTACAAAGGCCAATGTTGGCCCTGAAGGTGTTGAGGGCTCAATGTTAGTAGAAGGACTCGTAAAGCATAACAGACCCTCCAAAACTCTAAAAAGCCTTTAAAGAGCCGGTCTAACTGCAGATACTACTAACCCTTTCACGGCCCCCATAAACGCGTCTCTTCGCGTCGAGCCGCCTCTTTGCCAGGTGTCCCTGGAAGCAAAGCAGCAGGTCGGAAACTGAGTGTTTGGGATTTTGCGCCTCGATTTCTGCAAGGGTTCCCATAAGGCTTCTATGAGGGTCCCTTTGAGGGTTCCGATGCAATGTTTACACGGGTTTTGAAAATTTTACAGCGGTTCAAGTAGGGTGTTCCTGTAAGGGTTTTCAGCAGGCTGGCTAAAAGGGTGCTATAGGGAGTCTATGGGAGTCTGTGAAAAGATTCTTGGAGGGGTTCTGCAGTTTAGGGTTTAGGGTTCTGTGGTTCAGGGGTTTAGGATGTACTTTCTTTCTGTTTATGGGAGTGGTATAGGGCCTTCTGTACAGGCTTAGAGAGGTTGCAGGGGGATGGTGTCAGGGTCAAGAAGAGTTGCCGACTGTTCTACACAAGTGTTCGTTTGTGTTTTGGCCCATTCTAGAAAAAAGGAAGTTCCAGAAGTGTTTCAGGATCTACATAGAGTGATGTGGTAGCTTCTCTGTCAAGCAGCAGCGAGAGGTGTCAGAAAAGCAGAGAGAGAGAGAGAGAGAGAGAGAGAGAGAGTCAGACCCCTGAACTCTGAACCAATCTCTTACAAGTCCTACAAGAAGCTGTCGTGGAGCCCTAAAGACCCTAAAGCCCTCGGTTCAGAGTCCCGGGTTTCGAAGGTTCAGATGGCTTAGGGCTGAAAGGTTTAGGATTTTTGAAGTTTAGGGCTAGGTTTACATGTTTAGGCTAGGACTGGAGGCTTTGCGCTTCACCATTGACGCCGAGTGGGGTCCGGTTCAGCCACTCTGGACTTGACGCCGCCATTATGGTGCCCCCTATCGCAAGCCCTTACAATCACGACTTTTTGTAAACCCTTGTAACCACCCCCTATTGTAACCGATCCAGCTGTTGCCAAGGTCAGCGTTATATGAGAACCAAAACCCAAGACCCCGAAACCTTTGCACCACAGCCGTTTTATTCATGGGCACCCCATCTACAAGCCTGAACCCCACTGGGCCCTTTTTTCAGCCATAGCGGGTTTGTTCTCGCAAACCAGGTTGGTTTGTAGGGTGCGCGTAGGTACAACTCCATGACAGAATGGCACGGTTCAAGGTGCGCGTGTTCTTCGGCTTCGTGTGCACGTTCTACCTTTGGGACGACGTGCCCTTTGTGTTATGAGTCTCAGATGCTCACGAGGAGGTCTGACTAAAGATCCCCTAATCTGTCTTCCTACAGAACTGTATACATTATAGATTATATCATAATTACCCCATGCCCGGCTAGCAATAGGCTTGAGCACATGGGTAGCGCCCTTTAGAGTGTTGCCGAATTCCGAAGTAATTGCGTGGGCCTGTGGGAAATCTTTCAGGCGGTGTACACTTCCGGATTCATGGTTTGGGGTCTCTTTGTCATAGTTGGGTAACATTTTACATTTTTATGGGTACTTAAGCCCAATAAGGAATAAATATGTACATTTTTTCATCCTCTCTCAACCATGAACTAGGTCTGGGGCTTTCCAGTTTGGAGTTCAGGATTTAGGGCGCGCTTCTTTTTCTTTTGGGAGCTAAAGGTTACGCTTGGGTCGGGGCTCCTGTGCATGTCAGGTCGCCTAAGCTCCCTCCCTGGGCCTCAGCCTCTGCACTGTCCAAGAACCCGCCACCCTAGCGTTGCTTGCATCATAAAGTCCATTTGTGCTTTAGATGGAGTATAAGGTAAGGTTGAGTAGGAATATTCCTCAAACTATAGAGGGAAAGGTAGATTCTTAAGGTATATATAGTCCTGTACCCCACACGCTGGGTTCCAAACCCCTCAACCCAGCAGCCCTGAATCCGTGTAGGTACTTGAGCCCATCTCAAGCATGATGGACGAGCCGGTTGGCATGATGGCTCGGGCCCCGATCTAATTTTAACGTCTTTCGGGTTTAGTATTCGGGATTGTCTCACGGGTACCTAGAAATGATGTTTAATTCCTGGTTTCTACACTTCCCTAAGAAACAGCTAAAATCATTACTTTTTCTAGGGCTTTAAATTCAGTATGCCTGTATCCCCCAACCCTACAAAATAGTAGGTTATGACCCCTTTATTAGAGGGTCTGACCCCTAAAACGGTAGGTTTTTGGATCTCCAGGTAGTTGTTGGGAGAGGGTTAAAAGGAGGGACCCTTAGTAAGGGCCGCTAGGCATATACCTTTTATAGCTATTATGCACCCATTATATAGCCCATTATAGGGTAGCGGTCCACATTAAGGGTCCCTCCTTTTCCCCTTTGTTGTTGGGAGAGGGTAGGACTGAGGCGAAAGGAGGGCCTTGAGGGTCGAGGCAGGCCAGGATGCAGGTCCTCCTGGGGTTAAAGTTACCATTATACAGAAACCTTATTATCTTCTATAGATCCCTATTACGGTAACCTAATTTAAGCTAACTGGGTTGTCCTTCGGGATCGTTTTTTAACTTCCCTACTATTTTGTAGAGAACCATAATAGTAAATAATTTTCAAAGGGCTTAAAGGACGACTCAGTTAACTGTCAGAGCGTATTTCGGTAGAGCTGGGGAGTTACTTGACTTCGTGATGACACTTGTCCTAAACCCCAAACCCCTTAATCCCGAAACCCTAAACCCTAAACCCCTAAACCCTAAACCCTAATCCCAAAACCCTTAAAACCAAAAGCCTTGAAGTATGACAGGACCACGGAGTCTGGAGACCCAGGGGATTTTGGAAAGCGTGCGTTGTCCCCATGAAATTTCAATAAATCCACCTCAAAACCTAGAATCTAAGCGACAAGCCCTACGGGCATATTTGGCATTTTGGGTTTAGGGTTCCGCAAATGTGCTCCGAACCCTGAATTCTAAAGTCTATAAACCTGCTCATTGAGCTGGATTGAGAACGAGGAGCCGGCGTGCCTGGAATGCCGCGCAGAGATCTTTAAATCCGTGAATGCCAAACTCTGGGAAATGCTTTGCCAGTGAGCCGATGTTGTGGGCTGCGCCCGCTAACGGGAAGGCCTTGATAAATGGTCTCGCAGAAGTCCGCAAATGCTTTCTTGGCGGCGGGCTGAACCAACGCAGTTCCGCGCCTGCGTCGTGGGAGCTCTTGCCATCTTGTGAGTAGCCCGAGGCCCTAGGTGCGGGAATCTGGAATGAACGCTGGGGCAGCCCCATGCTGCTATTTTGCCGCCAGGCCTCTTTACCTCGAGAACCCAGAGCCTCCGAAACCCTTTAGTTACGGAATATACCTTACATCATAATAAGGATCCTATTATAATTTAAGGTATAAACCTTCATTAAGGGTTTTGGAGGCTCTGGGAACCTCCTCGCGGAGATCGGGTCTGGTCATTTCTGGCCTGATGTGCTGCGAGCTGGACGACCTTCAGACCTCCCGGACGGGCCATGTGTCCGAAGAACCCAGACTTTCCCCAAAACCCGGTAGATGAAGCTGTACGATTTGGGGTTCAGGGTTTCGACCTTAATGGCTTATGGTTTAGGGATCCGGATCCTTCCCTAGCATGAAGTGCAGTGTTTCCTCAAGCGGTTTTGGAGTCTCATGTCGCAAAAAGAATAGGCAATAAGACGCATAGCCCTAAACCCTAAATCCTACCCCTGCAATTCAGAAGCCCCTAGACCCCGAAACCCTAAAAACCCTAACACCCTAAACCGTGGCGAGTCTGCTTCGGCTTGCAATGCGAAGCCGGTGGGGTTGGGATTTAGGGTTTACCTGGACCCCCTGAAGCTGCGCCTATCAGGGTTTCTCATGATGATTGCTTTAAACAGGTCCTTCAAAAAGGCAGGTTAGGGTAGGGCTAAGGGAGTTTGGGGTAAGGCAGAGGCAAGACATCCATTTGGAAAGGGAGGCGTTGGCACGAGGCCGCGGATGTGGCCTTGGGCAACCTACACAGACTCGAAACCTCGTCGTCCCTGCTGACCTAAGTTCAAAGAGTATTCACCTGCGGGGTTTCGACGGTTTGGGGTTTAGGGTTTAGAATATCTAGGCTGCAACAAGAAAGGTCAACAGATAATTCTCAGCAGGCACATGCCGCTCACTTCATTATGCTGATCGACTTCGCTGGTTTTTTCCTCTTCCAGGTCCGGGTGCCGGGCTTCGCGGTAAAGACTCTCAGAGCTTGTTAAAGAAACCCTTCAAGGATCCCTTAAAGGAGCCCTTACAGGAACCCTTAAAGGAGCCCTTATAGGACCCTTAACAAGGAACCCTTAAAAGGAACCCTTAAAGGATCCCTTCAAGGAGCCCTTAGTTCGAATGTAGAACCTGAGTGAATACCAATACTTGACCTTAGGGCTCCCACGGTTCAGGGTTTAGGGTTTAGGGTTTTGGGTTTAGGGTTTTGGGTTTAGGGTTTAGCCAGAATCCCAAAGACTCCAATATCCCTTAATTAGGTTATACTATAATTTCAGCTATATGCCTTAATTAAGGGATATTGGAGTCTCTGGGATACCTGGAGGGTCATACCCTATCCGTTTTTTATTTAGTTTCATTTTTAGGATCTCCTATATAGAGAAGTAGGTACCTTAGAAAAAAGGTAGGGTATGAGCCTAGAGGTAAGGAAGCAGCAAAATTCACTATAAATCCCTATCATGTCAACTTAGGTGCCAAGATGTACCGGAAGCCCCTATTCCAAGTCGGCTTCAAACTTCATGCTCTGAAGGTTTAGGCGGGCAGCTTCGCTCCGAAAGTTTATCCCATCAAAGTCCTGAGGAAGTAAGTACGGTCTGCGGTTCAGATTGCCCAGGTATTGGGGCAGCATGTATACAGCGTTTTGGGTTTGCCGTTTGGGAGAAGTTCTGAAAAGAGGCAAGGGGGGGTCAAGATGGTAAGCTTCATCTTCGCTGTTGAGGGTGAGGGCACAGCCTTGGGAACCTTGGGTTTACAATTCAAGGCTTCCGGCTTAAGAAGTAAAGGTGTATGTGGTTTCAAGTTAAACGATTCCCGACGTCACTTGCTGGTAGCAAGGAGACACAGGCCTGCAGATTCCGCCCAACTCTCACAGACTGCAAGGCAATGGAAAGAAGCATCAAATCGCCCGCAGGACCTTTTTTACCCCAAAGCACGCAGCGCCAAACCCTGACGCCCTTCGCCCCAGCCTTAAGTCCAGGGGGTCGTCTCGTTCGTCTCGCTTCCTTGCTTGTTCTAGGGACGCCTAGTGCTTGCATCATGACGGTCGATGTGCTCACTTCAGCAGATGCGAATCTTCGGTTCCAGATGGAGGAAGCGGGAGTCAGTGCGGACGTGCAGAAGGCAATCTACGCAAAAGGCTTCACTTCCGTTCGTGTCTTTGCTGGATTGGAAAAGTATTGCGAGGGTGTGCGGGCAGCGTTGAAGTCCTCCGTCAAGCTCGAGTGCGACGAGCGCGCTGCTATGCGCAAGGAGTTCGCCCTTTTGCTTGCCATTTGGGAAGGACTTAGTATAATGCGGAAAGCATATACTTACTTGCACTGTGTATTTTTCGCGACAGCTTCAGTGAAGTTCCTTTGCAAGAACTACAGTACCGTAAAGCCCTGAACCAAAGAAGGATCCGAATAGCCTAAAATCCTGAACCCGAAGTAAAACCTACTAGAAGGCAATTGGCCCGAAAGCATCATCAGCGAAGATTGTGGGGTTATGTGGTAGATCCAGTGTATAGGATCGTAAAGTCACAGAATCAAGAGTCATAGAGTCCATGAGTCATGAGTCATAAAGTCATAGAGTTGCAGTGACATAGCGTCATAGAGTCGTAGTGAGATAGAGTCAGTGTATAGGATCGTAAAGTCACAGAGTCAAGAGTCATAGAGTCCATGGGTCATGAGTCATAAAGTCATAGAGTTGTAGTGACATAGAGTCATAGAGTCGTAGTGAGATAGAGTCACTGTATAGGATCGTAAAGTCACAGAATCAAGAGTCACCAGATGGCCAGAATCCGAATCAGCACCTGAACTTCGCAAGACGGCGTCCTCCAAGTTGCTGGCGCCGGCAGCTGGACTTCGCAAGACAGCGTCCTCCGAACCGCCGGCGCCACGACCAGGATCCGGATCAGCAACTGAACTTCGCAAGACAGCGTCCTCCAAGTTGCTGGCGCCGGCAGCTGGACTTCGCAAGACAGCGTCCTCCGAACTGCCGGCGCCGCGGCCAGGATCCGGATCAGCAACTGAACTTCGCAAGACAGCGTCCTCCAAGTTGCTGACGCCGGCAGCTGGACTTCGCAAGACAGCGTCCTCCGAGCTGCCGGGGCCGCGATCCAGATTCTGTTCGTCTGGCTCGCCCTCCTCATCTTGGCCTTGCGCATCGGCCGGGCCCTTTTGCAAAAGTTCGCGGGCCAAGTAACTGTCAGCGGCCGTTTCCAAAACGCAGCCTTCCAGTGCGTCGACGTCGTCACCAGGAGTTAGGCCGGCCTCCAGCGCGACCGACCTGTAGTAAGGCGACGTCTCGCGCAGCTTCTCAACAGCGGCAACATACTCCTCTCTGGGAGCTTGCAAAAGCTTGCTGGACCGCAGTTCCTGCTTCTTCTGCCCAACCAAAACGAACAAGATGCTCTCGGCCATGTCTTGGTCTTTGGGAGGCAGAGTAGCCTGGATGGCGCTAGGCCCAGCCTGCGGCAGGAAGATCGTGTTACCGATGTATCCCTTCTGCCTCTCGTCTCGCGGCAGTGACAAAGGTTGCAAGACGGTCACCTGCATGCAAACCCGCACGATGGGAAGCAGCCGGTTTGTTCCAGCCGAGAGGTTGCTGAGCTCGGGCAATACGCGTCCGATCCAAAGGTCGTTGGCCAGCGCATGCCTGGGAAGCGTGAGAATACTGCTCTTCAAACTCCTGCGACAGTCTCTGCAAACCGTACAGGGGTCCGTGAAAGATGCCGGCATGCGGCGGCGATGCAGCAGCAGAAACTCGCCTTCAATGTACGGATGCTCCACAGCAGAGGCCTTCAGTTCGGAAAGAGCTATCTGCGGCCAGCGCTCCGCATACCGAGCGACGCCCAACAATCGGCAAAGACGGTGCTGCTGATTCGGGGCCAGCGTCTCGGCGCCGGCAGGTACCTCGATTGTCGACGCATCTTCATCCGGCCTCTGAAAGAGAACCATGGAAAACAACTCGTTCATCCAGAAACGGCGAGCGCACACCACGCAGCCTCCTTCCGCTCGGCCACCGTCCATTTCAAGAGGGCATCGCAGCTCCTCGTCGAAATTGGCAGCGATTGCACGCTGACGACTCATCCCAGGCACCTGACTGTGATCGTTCCTAACACGTTATTACGCACGTCGACCCTTTACCGTAACCGAAAGCAAGAAGGCGCAGCATGCGACAAGAAGCCATCGGACCGGCATGCTCCACCATCGCCAGGATTTTCTTGCGGTATTCAACGAAGGCGAGCTCCACATCCAGCGGCCGCACGAGATGAGTGTCCACGACGTGTTGCTTCAGCTCCGATTGCTTCCGGCAACTGAAGTCGCATAAGCGGCAGCAACACCGTTCGCACGTCACCGAGGCATCGTCCGAAAAAGTCTGGAGCAGGCGACGAGCTACCGCCTCGCTTACGGCAGGTACGCTCCGAGAGCAATTCAGCAGCACAGCGACGCGATCCAGCTTCAAAGGCAACGACACCTCGGAGTCTCGCAAGATCCCGAGCGCTTCCCGCCCCGCCTCGTCCGCGTTCCGAAGCAAGTCTTCCACGGGCCAGAAACGTTGCTTCATACGCCTGCCCTCACACCAGCCGGGGACGGCGAACAGCACTGCCCGCTCCACGGCCGAACGCCAGAGAATGCCGTCTAGCGCCTCCGAGCCATCACCAAGGCAGTCAAGTGCCAGCCAGCACAACGGATCGAAATCCGGCGGATAAGCCTTTCTCATGGCCCGGGCCCTCGCAGTGGCACCGTCAGGGTAGTACGCTTCAACACCCTTGGCCAGGACTGGATTCTCCTCTCGCGAAGGCAAACGGTAACACCCTTCAGTCGTCTGCCAGTCCAGAAGCTGATTCCGCAAGGTGAGCGTGTCTTTATCTATGCCTTGCTCGCTAGCCCTGGCTGCCGACACTGTGTTAGGATTGTGCAAGTCACGAATGCCGATGCCAGCCAGCGGGTGCAACAGCTCCGTCACCAAAAACCAAGCAAATTGCGACCAGTCTTCTGACTTCCGCACGTGCCCGAAGGTCTGGTACCAGTAGCAGGGTTCGTCCGGCTGTGCTTGTCGCTCCCAACCATACCGACGCATCAGCCCCCGAAGCAGTGTGGTATCGGCCCGATCGAACTTGCGAGTCCGAAACTTGTGCTGGATAATGCTCAGGACAGCCTGCCAGGACCCGGTGAAACAAACATGAGCGAGAAACGCACAGCAACGCGTGCGCACATGAAGCTACAGTCCAACTTAATCCTCATTATGTCCATGACCCCATGCACGATCACGTCCCAGACTCTCTATGTTTCGGGACGGCTTCGCGCGGGTTGCCTCCAACACCTCTTGGCGATCTTCGTACCCGTCCGTTGCACACGCTCGCGGCTCCGCCTCGAGGTTGGCCAGATACCAGAGCCGGCGAGCAACGTCCACGGGGTCCACTCGCTCGAGGCAATCTGCAAGACGCCACCAACCTGTTTCCCGAACTCACACGCACAACGCACGACAGCAACACGGCATCCAAGACATTACACGAAGATCGTGATTTGCGATAATGCTCGCCTGTCCGCTGATCCACGTGATCTTCCAACACGGCTGCAAGAAGACAATGCTGCATGGAAGAAGTCAGACACGGCACGGTCGCGTCTCTCAAGCCGGCAACAGCAACCTCCCACGTAGAACTCACTTCTCGAGACAGCGCCGTGTCGACCTGTGACCAATGCTGCAGACTGTCCAGAATCTTTTGCGCAAGTAGATCTCTCTCCGAATCGGAAGACAGATGTCTCGCGGAAAATGATTCTACCGTAATGTCCAACGAGTAGGCAGCCGCGGATTGGCGCACGTTGGCATCCTCGAAGATGTCGCAAGCAGCTGCAACCACCGCTGCAGCATCCCGTGCTCCGGCTCTGCGAACCGCGTAGAGGGATCTCCACATTAGGTACTTAATGTCACCGTCTGCACTCGGAACGCGCAGGGGGCACAACGCCAT